AACGATGCTGAAATCGTCATCTTGCAGTAGACACATCAAAATTGACCTTTAACTAAGCTGCTTTCCGCCTTTAATAAAACCGCTGGGTGCAGTCTGATTTCTTTCTCTAACTTCCTAACACGGATACTTCTGCAAAGGCAAGCCTGAAGAACGTTGGGATACAGAATGTAGTGAATGCCGAACGGTTGAACAACCTGCATGAGCTACGAAAACGCCAGACGGCATAATGAAAGCTAGAGAATTCGCCGTAATGAATGCATACGAATCGCCAGTAATCATTTGACCGATGTTTCTGTTATCAGCTTTACCTCATCCGTGTCTCTGCGGGGATTTCAATAGTCATACGCTGTGGATCTACAGGAAGATCGATGCGACCTGACCAGAAAATGATTAACCGCCTGGGCACCTGCTGCTGACGGGGTTGGAAACAGCGATGGTCTTTCAGATCAGCCACATGGGATACAGACCCAAGTCCAGATGATATCTTTTTCTCAGACGACGGTATTAGTATTTCTCTCCCTTCCTACAAAACAAGTATTTCGACACTGTCCTTAATGCCAGCATTGTATGATGATGCTTGATTTGAACTAGAGCACCTTATTGAATCCGTTCCGCTTCCATGCACTTTTTCAGCGATAAAACTGGATTCCATTCACGGCGGAACTAGGAGGTCCGATCCAGCGGGTTGTTACTACCTTTGATTCGTTTAACATTTTCAATGAAATGCCGATTTCAGCTACGGCAAAGAGCATCCCATATATACGTGTTATTGGAAAGAAGAGGATAGCCTTTGCACTATCTAGGGATGTTTGGAATCGCATAGCTAACATAGATTATACTGATTAATCAATGTCCGGGAGGTGAAAAGAGACCCGGGTAAAATTTGACTTCTCATATTCGAGTCGGAAGTCCCCTCCTAGACTGCTTATGTCTCTGCGATTTCGATGACGCTTACGGTGCAACAATCTCGTTTTTCAGACAGCAAAAACACTTACGATTAAAGCTGTCTGCAGAACAGCAGAAAGAATGGATTCATCTTAAGGGAGACTTCGACTTCAGATGTAAGGGTAGATTGGATTTTGCCATATAAACTATGAGAAATAACGGGTATTTGTTCATATTCATCTTCTATCGCCGCTTCTCATTTCGGATCGCGGAGGCAGACGCGTCAGACAAAGCTTCCAACGTTCCCGATCCTGTGCCAGAGTCTGAGCTTCGGCAAAAGACAGATGGATTCTGAAACAGAGTCCTTCCATATATTTGTACTACCAGGTTAACCATTATAACACGTCAGAAAAGGGCCCACGAGAACGCGCATTTGTTTTGCACTGAAACTAGAATATAATTGCATAAATAAAAATAAGTTTATTGAGTTCCGTTTTTTTTGTTCTGTTTGTTGTCCCGCGCTTTTGCCATGCATGCATGTATCTTGTTATCTTATTATTTGTGCTTGATAATTTCATGATTTATTATTTAGTCGACACAAAATTCTGAATCAGTTTGCGTTGAAAGCCGCGATCAGATCCGGCTGCGAAGATCAAGAACAAGAGAAGTCGAAGAAGCAGCATGACGTATAATCATACTCATGTGTGTTCTTTCAAACCATTTTCAATTCAATGCCGAAATTTTAGTTTTCGAAATCACTGGATAGCAGCGGCGGTGATCTGGATGCGGACGAGGGTGAAGTTAAAGGTAAGGCGAGTTGTTCGGGAAGTACACTACAGTGGTGAGATTCAGTTGTTTGCCTTGAGGTTCATTGTCTTACTTTTCCATTTTCACAGACTTTTTGCACAAGCATCAAGGTATCCAGTCCCGTCCGGGTGCTACTCTCAGTTTCCTTAGTACTTTTTATCTTTTCACGGATCGCTGACATACTGGTTGTTGCTTCACAACTCTGATTCAAAAGTGCAACAGAATTCAATTTCCATACTTAGAATTCAAAGAACTTGTTGAACCAGTTGTTGTTTGGCACACAACGAATAGATCTCCGTTAGTGACCGGAAATACGTTGTGGTGTGCTTTTCAGAGACAAAGGCAAGTTTAGCTTCGGACAAAATTATTAATGCTTGAAGAAACAGACTTCACCTTTGCTGACCTCCATTGTTTGCTCTTTAGCGGAATGCCAGGGCGAAACGTTTGCTTATTGCCAGCCAGGTTTGATAATATTTCATCGTATATGACATCGAACTGGTCATGAGTGCTTAATCATAAACCTTCATTTCGCCACGCTTTGCGCCAGTGCATTGTGGCCCCTGGCGATGGCGCTGTCTTATGTAAGGGATTTCTATTGCGTTCTCTCAGTTGCCAAAGCTACTTGTCGCCTGGCGACTCGCATTAATCATTCTTCAGCCACTGTGAATTGCTTGCATTTGACATTTTGACATTTGACTTGGTTCTGCTTTATGG